TCCGTAGTCAGACCTGCTATGTTATATGGGGCAGAGTGTTGGGCGGTTAAGAAGACTCATGTGCGTCGTCTGCATGCGGCGGAGATGCGGATGTTACGATGGATGTGTGGGAAGACAAGGTTGGATAGGATTTCGAACGAAGTTATCCGACGTCAGGTAGGCATGGCACCGGTGGAAGATAAGTTGCGGGAAGCGAGGTTGAGATGGTTTGGCCATGTGAGACGGCGGGATGCTGACGCTCCTGTACGGAGATGCGAGAGGATTACGGTTATCGGGGGGAGTAGGGGAAGGGGTAGACCTAGGAAGAATTGGAAGAAGGTGATTAGGCAGGATTTAGGACTTCTCGAACTGACTGAGGATATGGCCCTAGATAGGAACCTTTGGAAAACTAGGATTAGAGTAGCTGGATAGGAGCTCGGTGTTGTAGAAGTTGTTTTGTAGTGGGTTGTATTTGTTTGGAATCTTTTGCTATTGCTTGTACTTGTTGCTTGTACTTGGTACTTTATCTGTATTATAATGTGTTCTCTTCCATATTTTTGTGCAGGTGGAGCCGGGGGTCTCTTGGAAACAGCCTCCCTACTTCCGAGTAGGGGCAAGGTCTGCGTACACACACCCTCCCCAGACCCTACTGTTGTGGGATTCACCTGGGTTGTTGTTGTTGTATATTTAAATAAGTGTGTAATATCTTATTTGAATTCTAGATTCAAACCCCAAGTTAAGATAAGAGTGTGTCATATCTCTTAACACCAACTTGGTTTATCCCCTCCTATTTTATTCCCTCATTTCGTGCCTCCCCATATTCTCTTCCTAAACCTCTTCTTTTTTTCTTCATAAAAAACACCAAAATAACTCCCCTTTTGCCCCATAATATTTCGGTCACCCCATTTCCCCCTCACCTCCCCATAATTCCTTCTCTAAAATAGCAACGTATATTTCGGCCACCCCATTTCCCCCTCACCTCCCCATAATTCCTTCTCTAAAATAGCAACGTGATAAGACCCCGGGTCTCGGGTATAACAACTTCCATCTTTTATATCAGTTCTAATCTCATAGGTATAGTCTGTAGAAAGCATTTTTTCCCTTTTAAGTGATTAAGCACCCTTCGGTCATGTACCCCTTCCACGATTTACATGCTGATTCTACAATATCAAACATGTAATGGAATATCATTGTGAGAACGATCTCAACTCGTAGCTAGCCCCATTGATTTGGGTTAAAACCCTGATTGCTGTTAATTGTCATTGGTTTGATGATTGTTGTCTTATGATCTTTTTGATGCAAGTGAAAATTGCCTATATGATGACGGTCACAGTTTCAAATTTAGTCTCATTATTCCTTTGTAAGAAGGTTGCGGCGAGAAGTCTGTTTGGCATATAACTTTGCCGCAATGCTTTTTTGCATGAATATATAGTGCTAACTAAATTAATTGACTCTTAAAATTTCATGTCGCCAACCCCTACTAGTTGAAATTAAGATATTAGTTGTTATACCCCGGGTTACTAATATGGAATCCCAAGTCCTTAAATAAATCAATGGATTAATGTCTAGGTGTCTTGATCCTTTTTGGAATGAATTTATCATCAAAACCCAAATCCTAGCCATAGTCCTTTTGGATTACTAAAGGCCGAACCAATCACCCCAAAACAACCCAAACCACCATCAAAAGGAGACCATCCTGTACTCCCCTCTTTGGCCGAAAATCCTTCTCCTGTTTTTCAACAAAATTATCATGTTTTTGACTAAAATAAACACTTAAAACCCACCCCATAATCTGGCCAAAATCCCTGTCCATTTTAAGTCAAAAGGTGAACAGTAGCTATTTGTCTCTTTGTTGACTTCTCTCACAATCAAACAAAGAGAGTCATTCCCCTTTCTTTCCTTCAATAAAAGCCGAGCTAGGCCATCCAATAAAACCAAGGAAATCAACTTTTATAATCTCTATATCATCTTTCTTGAAATCACACACAAGATGACAAAATCCATAATGTATAATCATCCAAAACCAGCCACTTAATATTCCACTCTGTCCCTTATCATATGGTCGAACTC